TTTATGTGATTTGCTGTAGACAAGAGTGATTACTGACTCATAAAGCACACAAGTAAAAAGACTCGCCCCAACGGTCATAAAACTGGTTAGATCCTGAAAATCTGTTGTAATGTATTATAACCCCTGTAGTGAAAAAGATGTACACTTCAGCATACTTTTGAAATAAGTACTTATTACGGAAATAATATACTTTCTAATTACGTGTGAACTGAATTATAATGTTTTTATATATAATAATATATATAAAAAAAGTTTACTGTAAATGCAGTTAGTTGGACTTTAAAGTGCTTTTTAAACCCACTTAAATAGGACTTAAGTACGTCTTTATATGTCATTTTGTAATTCTATTGTCTTTGAAATATGGTTAAATTGTACTGCTGAATGTGCATTTATGACCAAGAAAATATACTATAATGTAATTTCTAGTGAAATCTGAGTCATTAATATATTTAAATATATTAGTAATTATTTGTACTGATGAAATTTAGTACATTTAGATTATATTAAGTTTAAATGTAGTATGAAATAACACACTACAGTTAAATTACCAAGTACATGTCCATTAGTATGTTAGTCAACACATTAAAATAAGTATACTTCTTTAAAACTCGACTAAATTTAAAATGTACTTTTAATAAAAAATTATCCTTTGACTTTAAAAGTGTACTTAAGTGTTGTACTAGTCATGACAGTGTCTATCATAAGTGGCCTTTTATTTCATTAATATATTATCTAGAAGTAGTTTTTTATAGATAAACTAAAGATTTGAAGTACACTACAAGTGCACATGCTCAAATTTACGTAAAGTCCTAGATTACAGATTACAGTTTGACTGACTGTTTGATATGTAACACAGATATCTATATAGTCGTCAATACTTACAAAATAAATGGTAAGACACACATTTACATTTACATTTAGTCATTTAGCAGACGCTTTTATCCAAAGCGACTTACACATGAGGACAATAAAAGCAGTCAAAACTAACAAAAGAGCAACAATATATAAGTGCAAATGATATTATAAATATATAAATATTATACACACACACATACACACAAAGAAAGATAGAATAGAAAAAATAGAAAGCTAGTTTTAAAAAAAGAAGAAGATAAATATAAAGTAGAATTAAAATAGAATAGAAAGTGCTAGAGTTAGAGGGTCAAAGACAAAAAAAAGACACACAAAGCAAGGTAACATTGTAAAACCTTTTAATAGCATTAACCTAAACTAAAATGAATATTCTGGAAACATAATGCATAGAATTAAATTATTAAGCCAATGAACAGGATCAGTACAGAACGTTTTGTACAGAGCAGACAGGTTTTGTGAGCTCACCCTCTACTGCAAATGAGCTGCAGAGCTTCGATGTGTCCGTGGTAAGCTGCCCAGAGAGTGGGTGTCATGCCATCCTCATCCGGGGTGTTCAGATCTTTCCTTGTGGCTTCTTTCAAAAGATCCAAATAGCCATCGATGGCTGCTTTGTGATATCGTGACATGATTATAATAATGATCTCCCTTCTTCAGCGAGTACATGTATTTTGTGAAGTGTTACAGGACCATCTTTGCTGGCATCTGGCCGTGCTCTGTCTCTGTGTCTGAGGGAGGAGAAACTCTGATCTCACCGCCTGGACATGACACTGCTATCACTGTCATAAACTAAAGTCCAGAGTGAACTGTTATTGCTTACCATCAGTGTTAGTTTGCAGAGATATAAACAGGGGTAACTATATTTAATAGTTCTTATTTGATCATTTTAGATCTTGAAAAAGTGTTTAATTACATGATTTTATTGTGGTCATATTTTTCCATCATGGTTTGATATCATTGTCTTTGTTCTGTTATTGTATTGATATGCCACTTCTCCACTAACAGAGCATGTTTATGTGTTAGTTAGCTTATCTAAACTTAGACTATGCTACGGAAGTTCTAAGCGGCCATGCAATATATTTTTTTTCCTTCTTGTTTTCTCGTTATAACGACTTAATTTTCTCGTGATCTCGACATAACGGGAGTTGTTTTCTCGTTACATAATTTTTGTTGTCTCGTTATGTCGAGATAACAAGAAAATTAAGTCGTTTTAACGAGAAAACAACTCCCGTTATGTCGAGATAACGAGAAAATTAAGTCGTTATAACGAGAAAACAACTTAATTTTCTTGTTATCTCGACATAACGAGAGTTGTTTTCTCGTTATAACGACTTAATTTTCTCATTATCTCGACATAACGAGTTGTTTTCTCGTTATAACGACTTAATTTTCTCATTATCTCGACATAACGAGTTGTTTTCTCGTTATAACGACTTAATTTTCTCATTATCTCGACATAACGAGTTGTTTTCTCGTTACATAATTTTTGTTGTCTCGTTATGTCGAGATAACGAGAAAATGAAGTCATTATAACGAGAAAACAACTCGTTATGTCGAGATAATGAGAAAATTAAGTAGTTTTAACGAGAAAACAACTCTCGTTATGTCGAGATAACGAGAAAATGAAGTCATTATAACGAGAAAACAACTCCCGTTATGTCGAGATAATGAGAAAATTAAGTCGTTATAACGAGAAAACAACTCGTTATGTCGAGATAACGAGAAAATGAAGTCGTTATAACGAGAAAACAACTCGTTATGTCGAGATAATGAGAAAATTAAGTCGTTATAACGAGAATACAACTCACTATGTCGAGATAATGAGAAAATGAAGTCGTTTTATCGAGAAAACAACACTCATGTCGTTATAACGAGATAACAACTCGTTATGTCGAGATAATGAGAAAATTAAGTCGTTTTAACGAGAAAACAACTCTCGTTATGTCGAGATAACAAGAAAATTAAGTCGTTTTAACGAGAAAACAACTCTCGTTATGTCGAGATAACAAGAAAATTAAGTCGTTTTAACGAGAAAACAACTCTCGTTATGTCGAGATAACAAGAAAATTAAGTCGTTTTAACGAGAAAACAACTCTCGTTATGTCGAGATAACAAGAAAATTAAGTCGTTTTAACGAGAAAACAACTCTCGTTATGTCGAGATAACGAGAAAATTAAGTCGTTTTAACGAGAAAACAACACTCATGTCGTTATAACGAGAAAACAACTCGTTATGTCGAGAAAACGAGAAAATTAAGTCGTTATAACGAGAAAACAACTCCCGTTATGTCGAGATAACAAGAAAATTAAGTCGTTATAACGAGATAACAACTCGTTATGTCGAGATAATGAGAAAATTAAGTCGTTATAACGAGATAACAACTCGTTATGTCGAGATAATGAGAAAATTAAGTCATTATAACAAGAAAACAACTCGTTATGTCGAGAAAACGAGAAAATTAAGTCGTTATAACGAGAAAACAACTCTCGTTATGTCGATATAACGAGAAAATTATCGAGTAAAATTGACCCACTGCGTTAAGAAGTTAGCCCACCAATGACTCCCTCTACAAGTCTGACAAAATGGCAGAATCCCAGAAAAAAGAAAAGGAGAAAGGAAAAAAGTGAGAAAGGAAAAAAGCAGAGGGGCCCCTCCAAAGGAAAATCAGAAAGAAAATTAAGTCGTTATAACAAGAAAACAACTCATGTCGAGAAAACTAGAAAATTAAGTCGTTATAACGAGATAACAACTCGTTATGTCGAGATGAGAAAATTACGTCGTTATAACAAGAAAACAACTCCCGTTATGTCGAGATAACAAGAAAACAACTCATGTCGAGATCATCAGAAAATTAAGTCGTTATAACGAGAAAACAAAAAGGGAAAAAATAATAATGCATGGCTGCTTAGAACTTCCGTACTATGCACTACCATGTCTTATTCATTTTTTTTGTTTTTGTTTTTTTTTGTGCAAATTGCAATTTTTCATGCCAGAGCAACACGGAAGTGGTCATAGGTGTATACCCTAACACGAAAATTATAATCAACATATTAAATGATTGCAATTGATGTATATTGAAAATATACAGAATAACATGTGACCCTGGAGCACAAAACCAGTCTTAAGTCGCTGGGGTATATTTGTTGCAATAGCCAACAATACATTGTGTGGGTCGAAATTATTAATTTTAGAGCTATTCAGTAAAGATCATGTTCCATGAAGATATTTTGTAATTTTCCTAGCTTTAAATATATCAAAACTTAATTTTTATTAGTAATATGCATTGCACTTGACTTCATTTGGACAACTTTAAAGGCGATTTTCTCAATATTTTGATATATATTTTTTATTTTTTGCACCCTCAGATTCCAGATTTTTTAAATAATTGTATCTCGGCCAAATATTGTTCTATCATAACAAACCATACATCAATGGAAAGCTTATTTATTCATCTTTCAGATTGACCCTTATGACTGGTTTTATGGTCCAGGGTCACATATATTGTGTTAATATTTTACAATATATTGAATAATAAATAAGAAATCGCCACTTTTGATATAATAAAAATATGCGATAATTGATTTACTCATCATTTATATTCAGTAATGCACTTTAAATGTGTGTGTGCGCTGTCACATGTATATCTATGCATTTTAGCAATCAGTCTGTTAAGTTATAAAAGTCAGTTCTCATTTTTCAGCCACTATATGCTCCCACGATTTTAACAAGACATCCGATTGTCCAAAAATGTTCATATTTGATTTCAGTAAACACTTTTGGGAAGCGCCATAGACGGTCATAAGCCGTACATGCTCATGAGCACGAGCATGCATAAGCCATACATGGTCCATGCATATATTGCAGCATTATGAAAAATATAAACACTAGGTTCCACGCTAGAGACATGCATTATTTAATCTGCTTTCAGATAAGAAATGTTTCTTGAGCAAATCAGCATATATGAATGATTTATGTTGGATGTGACACTGAAGACTGAAGTAATGATGCTGAAAATTCAGCTTTACTGTACATCACAGGAATTAATTATATAGCCTACGTACAGAAGTGAATGTCCAAACCGATGGGCTGTGCGACATCCGGGCCGCTAGAGGCGCTAAAGAGCAGCAGCATCGAGAATATCAGCAGCACAAAGAACCATCCTGTTTTGAATACGGAAGTTTTTATTCTGTTGTCGCACGTAATGAATATGAATCAGACCGGGAATCAATCGTTCTGACTGGCAGCTAATTTGTGTGAAGTAAAGACACAGCAATCTGGTTTTTAAACTAAAGCGAGAGAGAAAGAGAGATGTCAGAGAGCAGCAGCTCGGTCCGCCTGCTGTCATATGAAACACTGGTGCACGCTGTGGCAGGTGCAATGGTGAGCAAAATAATGGTTTCCCGTTAATGTAATGCTATTCTGAATCAGGGATGCTTGTTAAACTGTGTTTTATTGCCTTGAAGGGCAGTGTTACAGCAATGACAGTGTTTTTCCCTCTGGACACAGCCAGGATCAGACTGCAGGGTGAGTTAGGTTATAATAGAGTGATTATGGATTTATTTGGGATTGTACTGGACAGTTTCTATGTGATATTTACTGGTATAGTGTGTAGTAATCATGGTTCCATTTTTAAATAGAAAAAAATAGAAAAGATATTAAATAATAAACAATAAACAATGTCATGGTCGTTTTTATTAGTGAATGCACACATTCTAGTCATGCTATTCTTTCAAACGTTTAATTAACTACAAACTGTTCCATGGCTATTATTTCATATGTCAGGCTTTACAGGGTTAAGTATAAATAGTGCATGTAGTCTGTCAGTTAATATAAGGTCATAGGCCATGGTTATAGATGAGGCATAACCAGTGTTGGGGGTAAATACATTACAAGTAACGCGAGTTACGTAATCAGATTACTTTTTTCAAGTAACTAGTAAAGTAACGCATTACTTTTAAATTTACAAGAGAATATCGGAGTTACTTTTTCAAATAAGTAACGCAAGTTACTTTTTTTTTTTCAATTTATTGATTGACAGCTCTCCTGTCCCCATGCTGAGAGAAATCAGAAGATGTTACTGTAGTTCTAAAATAAATATGAATATGCATTAATTCATCTAAAAAAATACAACACAGGTTCAGTATTCCTCAAAATGAATAAAAATAATGCAACTCAGAATATGACGCAAACCTGCAATAATTAAATGTTAAACAACACAAATATGCTTTATGTATTTAATCCCATTCTATTAACCAATGTCTTTGCTTCTGACCTTCGATGATCCAGTTCAAGCGTACTAATAAGCACAAATTACTCTAGACGAACATTTGTGTCTTTTTTTATTGCTGAAGTGTGTTGAAATGTCTTCTTCTGCATTCTACTGTACGGACGTAAATGTACTTTCCCTTCAGCCTGAGGTGCATTCATTTCACGTCTGGTGTGAAAAGGCTTTTATATTTGCCAAAAATATAACTTTTTTATTTTAAAAACAAACAATCAAGCCCTGTCCAGATTTTAAAAGTAGCGCAAAAGTAACGTGACGCATTACTTTCCATAAAAAGTAACTAAGTACCGTAATTAGTTACTTTTTTATGGAGTAACGCAATATTGTAATGCATTACTTTTAAAAGTAACTTTCCCCAACACTGGGCATAACACACTGCAGGAGAACACATGGTAAAGTCAATTTCACATTTGTGATGTGTTTCAGTGGATGAAAACCGTAAGTCTCAGTCCACCCCCATCATTCTGGCTGAGATAGCGAAGGAGGAGGGCATGTGAGTTACTGAGTTCAGAGTGCACGACACATCAGGACAATCCTGAGAGGGACATTTCAAACATCAGTGTATATGCTGGGTGCAAAACCAGTCACTTATTTATTGTTAAAACAGTGTGTAAGTGAAAATAAGTGAACATCTGTAGGCACTACTGCACATATATGTCATTTTTAACCACCCATGAATGTGCTTGGAATCGGGTTTGAAAAAAAGAAATGCAGATAATGAAATCGATTTCATGATGCCGTTTGACTGTGTTTCAGATTGTCTCTGTATCGTGGCTGGTTTCCTGTCATTTCTAGCCTGTGCTGCTCTAACTTTGTGTACTTCTACACATTCAACACACTGAAGAGGGTCATGGTCTCGGACCGCTCCAAGCCTAGCACAGATTTGCTCATGGGCTTCATATCAGGTAGAGAAAGTTTGAACCCTCCTCTTGCTACCATGCTGCATGCAGTTTTTCCCCGTTATTACTAAGATGGTCTTGGTTATTTCTAGGTTGTTACTTTATTATATAGTTTTTAATAATATTTTGAATTGGATTTTATTTTTAAAACTTTCTCGTTTAGTTTGTTAATATTTTTGTAACTTTGATGTGATGTTACTATTTAGGTAAAATTTTAGTGCTGCCAAACGATTAATCGCGATTAATCGCATCCAAAATAAAAGTTTTTGTTTGCGTAATATATGTGTGTGTGCTGTGTATATTTATTATGTATATATAAAGACACACACATTCAGTATATAGTTTGAAAATATTTACATGTATATATTTATATAATATATATAAATATATTTAATATATAAACATAACAGATTTTTCTGAAATATATATATATGTATATACATGGGTATTTATATATGCATAATAAATATAGTACACATACATATATTATGTAAACAAAAACTTTTATTTGGGATGCAAGAGAATATCTGAGTTACTTTTTCAAATAAGTAACGCAAGTTACTTTTTTTTTTACATTTATTGATTGACAGCTCTCCTGTCCCCATGTTGAGAGAAATCAGAAGATGTTACTGTAGTTCTAAAATAAATATGAATATGCATTAATTCATTTAAAAAAATACAACACAGGTTCAGTATTCCTCAAAATGAATAAAAATAATGCAACTCAGAATATGACGCAAACCTGCAATAATTAAATGTTAAACAACACAAATATCCTTTATGTATTTAATCCCATTCTATTAACCAATGTCTTTGCTTCTGACCTTCGATGATCCAGTTCAAGCGTACTAATAAGCACAAATTACTCTAGACGAACATTTGTGTCTTTTTTTATTGCTGAAGTGTGTTGAAATGTCTTCTTCTGCATTCTACTGTACGGACGTAAATGTACTTTCCCTTCAGCCTGAGGTGCATTCATTTCACGTCTGGTGTGAAAAGGCTTTTATATTTGCCAAAAATATAACTTTTTTATTTTAAAAACAAACAATCAAGCCCTGTCCAGATTTTAAAAGTAGCGCAAAAGTAACGTGACGCATTACTTTCCATAAAAAGTAACTAAGTACCGTAATTAGTTACTTTTTTATGGAGTAACGCAATATTGTAATGCATTACTTTTAAAAGTAACTTTCCCCAACACTGGGCATAACACACTGCAGGAGAACACATGGTAAAGTCAATTTCACATTTGTGATGTGTTTCAGTGGATGAAAACCGTAAGTCTCAGTCCACCCCCATCATTCTGGCTGAGATAGCGAAGGAGGAGGGCATGTGAGTTACTGAGTTCAGAGTGCACGACACATCAGGACAATCCTGAGAGGGACATTTCAAACATCAGTGTATATGCTGGGTGCAAAACCAGTCACTTATTTATTGTTAAAACAGTGTGTAAGTGAAAATAAGTGAACATCTGTAGGCACTACTGCACATATATGTCATTTTTAACCACCCATGAATGTGCTTGGAATCGGGTTTGAAAAAAAGAAATGCAGATAATGAAATCGATTTCATGATGCCGTTTGACTGTGTTTCAGATTGTCTCTGTATCGTGGCTGGTTTCCTGTCATTTCTAGCCTGTGCTGCTCTAACTTTGTGTACTTCTACACATTCAACACACTGAAGAGGGTCATGGTCTCGGACCGCTCCAAGCCTAGCACAGATTTGCTCATGGGCTTCATATCAGGTAGAGAAAGTTTGAACCCTCCTCTTGCTACCATGCTGCATGCAGTTTTTCCCCGTTATTACTAAGATGGTCTTGGTTATTTCTAGGTTGTTACTTTATTATATAGTTTTTAATAATATTTTGAATTGGATTTTATTTTTAAAACTTTCTCGTTTAGTTTGTTAATATTTTTGTAACTTTGATGTGATGTTACTATTTAGGTAAAATTTTAGTGCTGCCAAACGATTAATCGCGATTAATCGCATCCAAAATAAAAGTTTTTGTTTGCGTAATATATGTGTGTGTGTACTGTGTATATTTATTATGTATATATAAAGACACACACATTCAGTATATAGTTTGAAAATATTTACATGTATATATTTATATAATATATATAAATATATTTAATATATAAACATAACAGATTTTTCTGAAATATATATATATGTATATACATGGGTATTTATATATGCATAATAAATATAGTACACATACATATATTATGTAAACAAAAACTTTTATTTGGGATGCGATTATTCGCGATTAATCGTTGCCCAGCACTATTACATTTATTTTGTATCTAGTTTAAATTTTAGTTCTGTTTGGTTTTTATTTCCAGTTAGTAATTTTAGTGCTTCAACTTAAACAAAAACTTGAAATGATTGCAAATAACTGAAGTTTTAAGTGTTGCATCTTAAACGTACTTCATCTATACAGTAGATGTATGTTTTGTTCAGCTTTATTTCAATTAACAAAAATTGTTTTAGCAAATGAAAATAACCCTGTTTTATTGTTACTTTCATTGCAACATTGAAAAGTATTACTTCACCTGTAAGCATGATAAAGTCCACTCATTTCTTCTTGTTTCATTTAATTTAGGAGCTGTCAATGTGCTCCTGACGACCCCTATGTGGGTGGTGAACACGCGACTGAAGCTTCAGGGGGCAAAGTTCAGGAACGAAGATCTCCATCAGACCCACTATAAGGGCATATTTGGTCAGAACCGCTCACACACTCATTTATCTCACGAGGTATAAACTCCAAACCAACGTTCAAGTCTAATCATTTAGTGGTAAAGCACATTTCAAATCAACAGCGGTTGAGGCAGAGCGCATACCGCTGAAAGATCGTCCTCCCAAATTTTGCGCTCGCATGAAATTCCTAATCCTGGATTCCGATTGAGATGCATCAGAATTTGCCAAACTACAGCAACTGTGACTGCACTTTAATAAAAATAATAGGCATGTGTTGTCGGCAGTACATCAAATCATCTTGTTGTTTTCCTCTCAAAGATGCCTTCTCCCAGATAATAGCCAATGAGGGAGTGGGAACGCTGTGGAACGGGACGTTGCCGTCTCTCGTGCTGGTGTTCAACCCCGCCGTGCAGTTCATGTTCTACGAGGCCATGAAACGAAGAGCAGGACATGGAGGCAAGAAGGTGAGGGACAAAGAAAATTGGCATGATTCTTTTGTGGAATAACTAAAATGTGTCATCTTTATGGGCAGATATCATCATTTGAGATCTTTCTCATCGGTGCCATCGCTAAAGCCATCGCAACATCTGCAACGTATCCTCTGCAAACGGTTCAGGCCATTCTGAGGGTAATACCATCAATATGATCACAGTAAACCATTGCATTAGATAATACACTTGATGCTGATAGACAGTGAATATTTCTCATTGCTTCCTCTACAGTTTGGCCAGTATAAATCAGACGGTAAAGGGGGTCTAGTGGGCAGCCTGAAGAATGTAGTTTCTTTGCTAATGGACCGGATCAAGTAAGTCCACCTCAGTGACTGTAGTTTAATTCTCACTTTCAGTAATACTGGTTATCAACCAGTGATTATAGCTAAAATGCAACAACAAGTTAACAAACATTTTTGTTACTTAAAATAAACTGAAATAAAATTATACATATATATATATTGCTAGTTCCCAAAGAAAATATTTCTCATTTCAGCTTAATGTAAACTCAAAAAATTTAAACTGAATAAAAAAAAAAGATATATATAAATATATATATTAAAAATGAATAAAAACTGTAGCTATATGTAAAGTGAAAAATTGCAAAAAATGTCTAAAAATAGAAACTAATTCAAACTATTAAAGGGGTCATCAGATGCCCATTTTCCACAAGTTGATATGATATGATTCTTTAGGGTCTTAATGAAAAGTCTGTTAACATAGTTTGGTTAAAATTTTTCAATGGTAGTGTAAAACAACAACATTTTTACCCTGTCAAAAACAGCTCTGTTCACAGCAAGCCGTTTTGTAGCATTTTCCTTTAAATGTTAATGAGCTCTGCTGACCCCGCCCCTCTCTTCCGAGCTGCTCTCTGAGGGACTGTTTACTTTAGCCGCATTCATGGTGAAACTTGCTAATTAGCACATTTTAGGAAAGGCGATTTGCAAAGATTAATTTAAAAAAAAAACTTATACTCACTTCTTCTGTAGGTGAAGCTGGATCACGAATGATTCGCGCGAACATAGACGCATTTATGTAGATCGGGATCGGCGCATTCCCTTCAGAAACAATGTAATCCACTGTGTCTTCAGTGGCTCAGATGTCGGGAGTAAATGACGACTGCTATGTTCATTATTACATCCAACAACAGAACACCTCGATCGCTTAGGGCGCTTTTCCACTGCATGGGACGGCTCGGTACGGTTCACTTTTGGGGGGTTTTCCACTGGGTACAGTACCTGGTACTTTTTTTAGTACCACCTCGGTTGGGGTTCCAAGTGAACCGTGCCGTTACCAAAACGTGACGTGTAAACTCTGCTGATCATGGATTGGCCGGAGAGAATAGTCACTGAACTTGCACACAAACACAACAGAACCGCTAGATTTAAATCGGAACAGCCAGCGAAAGATCGAACGCAACTGTTTTGAACAAGCACACCTTTTTAACAACCAAAAAGTGGCTGTTTCGTTGTCTGTTGAGGAAGTACTGACGTTCCTCTCGTTGATAGCAGAGGAGCGGATCCAGGGAGAGCTTGATGGGGCGACGCGGAATGAAAAAGTTTTTCAGGAGTCGCGGCAGTAGAGGCGGCGCAACTATAACGACATGTGAATAATCCCACCCACTCTAAAGCGGTACTGAACTGCAGTGGAAACGCAAACCGAGCCGTGCCGTGTCATACCGTACTGAGCCGAGTCGTACCACGTAGTGAAAAAGCGCCATTAGGAGGCGGACTGATTTAAAAAAAAGCACTGGGTGGATTTGTATCATTTTAGGGTGGTTGTGTACACACACTGCCAACACACATTTAAGTTCAAACAACATGTAAACGTGAATTTGGCATACGGAGACCCCTTTAATAGCTATACCAGTATCTCAACAGTATCTACTAAAATATCTCTGTTATCATGTTATCAACCAGTATTATTCATTGATTAATAGTGAGTGATATTGAATATGTATAGTCTAATATGACTACAGCAACTGTGACTGCCCTTTATTAAAATAATAGGCTTGTTTTCAAGTTTAGATGTCTTTTGTCATCGTCTAGTGCTTAGTTAATCTTTACAAACATACATTTAATTATCCTGTCAAATATTTATCTGATCTGAAAATTCAAATCTCAAGATTTAAGTGGTTTAATTTGTATAATAGTAATGTAGAATGCCCCCCCACCACCACAAAATAGTATAGTATTTTCATATCTTCCATTTATTGGATTCTGGCCATGTCTGATGTCTGCAGTGTCGTTGTAGTTTCTATCCATCAAACATGGCTGAATTGTTTTGATGGAGCTTGTGTCCTGTGTCCAGGAGACATGGGCTCTTGGGTTTGTATAAAGGTCTAGAGGCGAAGCTGCTCCAGACTGTGCTGACGGCCGCCCTCATGTTCGTGGTGTATGAGAAGATCACTGCCGCCACCTTCAAACTCATGGGCCTCCAGAAGAAACTCAAGCACTGAGTCACTAACAACTAATTTATGACTACCTCTAACTAATTTATGACTACACACACCAACAGGAGGAGCTCCACATATCCCATCAGCCATTGCTCCACTGGGTACGGTTTCAGTCCTACCACAACATAGGTCAGTTTAAAGCAAAAAAAAAGCATTTATGTAACTTTAGTTTATAACGTGTTCTTTTAAAATTTGAGTCTGTTTCTCACATAAACCTATTGTATGACTTCAGAAAATGTATAATGTAGCTCACACGTATTATGTACTACTTTTATGGTATGCTTTGCCTATAAAAAAAAAAAAAAAAAAAAAAAGAGTAGAGTGAGCATTCTTCAGAATATCTTTTGTGTTTCACAGTGGAAAGTCAGTCATATGGCTTTGTAAGTACAAGATGGTGATGAGTAAAGACAGATTTTTCATTTTTTTAGTTAAAGGGGTCATATGATGTATTTGGTGTATTTTCCACATACTGTACATTATTGTTCCTCCTCTATGCCCCGCCTTTCTGAAACACGTCGATTTTTACAAAGCTCATCGGTCTGAAAAGCGAGGTCTGCTCTGATTGGCCAGCTATCTAGTGCGTTGTGATTGGCCGAATACCTCAAGCGTGTGACGGAAATGTTACGCCCCTCACCATACTGTGATGGCGTGTCCCGGCCGGAGTGACAAGACAAAAACATTAAAACCCATTATAAATAAGGCATTTGTTGCATCCAGTGGGGACATATTTACGGATTATAATGACGCGCCGTGTAAACATAAAACCATGTCTGCATTTGTGATCGGAGAAATGACAAACAACAAGCGCTACTCTACACTGCCCCAAACTTGCATTTGAATCATCAGTGGCAAATCCTTTAAATTATGAAAATGTACTTACAGTCTGTGAGTCGGAACAGCCGGCATTGTAGTCTACTCTCCCAGGATCAGGAAACAGTCCTCCATAAAATGTGCTGCACACATCTGAATATTTGGGTTGAACTGTTCTGGAACAGTGTTGTAAATACAACTTAACCACTGATTTCTAGTCGTGTCCTCTTTTGGAAGGCCAAACAAAGTAGTTT